AATGCAGCTTTAACACATGAAGCTTTGGCTTCAGTCTGTCTAGGCAGCACTCAGGTTTGCTGCTCTCCTGCTAGTCAGCAGCAGGGGGCACAGCATCCCATATGAGAGGAAGGACGCCTGGCGGGGCCCCGGGCCCAAATGAGGTAAGTCAAGGCGAAAACCAGACACACACTCCTGTGTTTGTATTAGACTGTGTGTGTTATGAACCTACAGCTGGAATGTTAATGGTGAACATGTAGCTCCTCGTGTGAGTATACACACAGTCACAAGCTTTGTGTCACATTCAAATGAAGTCATCAGATCTTAAAAAATGCAACGTTTTCAAAACGGTGAGTTCACATTTTAAGTCTCCTCGGCAGCAGCTCCACCACGAGGTGCATTCTGTTCTGGAGCTTTCGCTCACAACACTTGAGCTGCATCACAGTTCTCGTAGCTCACTTGTTTTACTCTGTTCTCCTGCAGTGTCTGCAACATGTCTGTCATCTTACAAAACACATCTTCAGAATGAGTTTGTTCTCAGACTCTGATCCATAAATCTCCTCTTCAGCAGCTCTCACATACAGACTTTACTCTTTCATCCCTCTCTGTGTGCTGAAGGTTCACACATCACTCACACACTCAGTTATACATTGTATTCATAATAATGAATTGTATTTATTTGTTACCGTATTATCTGATTCATGGACTGATACAAAATGAAACAAGAATTTTGAACCTGACTTTATTCAATGTTCATATTTCTGTTCTTGAATTGTATGAAAATGAGCACATATTTAGAAAAAAGACTCTCAATGAAGTAATCAACTTTACGGTGATATAATATATATATTAGTTAAAGTAGCTGTTAGATGTTAAAGTTTAAACATTTTATAATTGATTTAATTCTCGACTGAATCTCTCGGTTTCTATTTGTCTTCTGCTCCTTCTACCTGCAAACATCATCTCGTTTAGACAGCAGGAGGAGTCCGAGAGACCGCGGGGCTGCACGAGGAGGAGGAGGAGGAGGAGGAGGAGGAGGAGGTGCTGGGTGGGGAGGTGGAGCCTCGGGATTATTCTGCACCGGTCTGTCTGAGTGACTGAGTGAGTGAGTGAGCGTCTCCAAAGTTTGAACCGGTCTCTCGGTTAATTCTCTGCTGTTGCACGTTTGAGTGTTGATCAACAACGGGACCGACCCGCGGACTAAAGGGGGGCAGAGGCAGTCCGGGCTCCTGGAGGAGCAGACCCTGAAGTGTGTCTGTTTTTAAAAGGACCTCCTGAGAGTCTGCTGGAGAAACAAAGAGTGAAGCGCTACTGTAGCTCCGCGCGCACGGACCCGCTGTCCTCCATCCAGCACACCCTCAGGAGGAAGACCATGGACTGAGAGCTCCTCGGATCTGGGTCCCTTCATTTGGTCGCGCGTGGAGTCCCACCTCACAACACATGAGTCGGACTGACCGGACAGTAAACCCTCGGGGATTATAATAAGGAGGGGCGATGGATAACTTCTTCACGGAGGTAAGAAGTCTCTCTTCACCGCTTCAGTCCTGCAGCATGTCGGACACTCTGTGACACTTCACGTCCTTCAGACTGGGACTCCTCATGACTCCTCATGACTCCTTACAATAAACTTTAGGATGTTTGTACCTATTAAACATCTTATAATCCATGAAGCATCACAGCAACATATTATAGGGATATATTCATGTTATAATAAAGATACAAAGAGCATGAAGTGCAATAAATGAGCATAAAGTCCTGACTGAGATAATATGCAACGTGATAAAAGTCAATGCGGTCAACATAAACTCAGCACTATGACTTCCTATTGAAATATGATTCTGGTTTTATGGGAGCAAAGGTGTCATAAAGTCCTTTAAATGAGCCCTGAACTCATCACAGAGTGACACACACACACACACACACACACACACACACACACACACACACACA